AGGGGGACAGGGGTGGGGGGAGCACCCTCAGGTGCTGCAGGGGGTAGGGGGCGGGGTAGGGGGACAGGGGTGGGGGGAGCACCCTCAGGTGCTGCAGGGTGTAGGAGGCGGAGTGGGGAGGACAGGAGAGAGGGAAGCACCCTCAGGTGCTGCCAGCCCTAGCTAGTCCCGACCAGTGGCAGAGTCAGCAGGGAGAGGGAATAGCAGGGGGGCACTGTTGCTAGGTTGGGGTCCTACCAGAAATTACCATGGAAGGTGAAATTGGCAGGTGGTTTCACTCTTATGTGTTGGGAGCAGGTTCTCCCTCCACAGTGGCCAGGGAACCAGTCAAGGGTAGCAAAAGTGCCACCTCTGTCTTTGAGGACCATACATAGCTCAGGTCTGTCTGTGCCTGCGGCGCCCCAGTGCTCCTCAAGCAGCCCCACTAATGGGGAACAGCCCTGCTTGTAGCTGCTACTGTACCAGCCACCGGCCATAGGGAAGTAATCTGGCTGTGATTTGGGTTTCCTGAGGAAAGATCTCTTCTTCATCCAGGTCCTTAACCAATGCAATTATTTGAGTGAATTTTTTGGTTGTGCTGGCGATGTGTGCTCACCTGAGATTCACTCTCAGGCTCTCTAAACTAATTTGGAAAACATTCTCTCTAGATGTGTATGAATGCCCAAAGATTTGGGTGCCAGGGCAGGAGGAGTCCAAGTTCAAGCCCTTCCTAGCTTATATCATGGTACCCTGTCACATAAAAAAGAAGAAAACGGATAAAGTGATAGACAAAGAAGCAAGAAAATGTCTTTATTACTATTCTATGTTTCATATTAGGAGGGAGTGATGGTCGCACATGCCTGTAATCCTACCGAACAGGTAGAGAAAGGGTGGAAAGAGGCAGATACTTGGGACCTACAGGCCAGTCAGTTTAGCCTAATCGACGCTAAACCTCAGGCCAATGAGAAACCTTGTCTCAGAAATCAAAGTGATGGGTAGGGCTGAGCGGTGGTGGAGCACACCTTTAATCCCAGCACTCGGGAGTTAGAGGCAGGCAGATCTCTGTGAGTTAGAGGCCAACCTGGTCTACAAGAGCTAGTTTTAGGACAGGTTCCATAGCTATCCTGTCTCAAAAACAAACAAACAAACAAAAAGTGATAGGTGAGGTGAGGAGTTGGGTGGGGAGAGGGATCGCTCAATAAATAAGAGCACCTACCATGCAAGCTTGGAGACCTGAATTTGCGTCCCAGTGCCCTCCATGGGCATGGTTGTATGACACCTGTAACTCCACTGCGTTAGGGATGGAGACAAGAAGATCACTGGGGTTCGCTGGGCACTAGCCTAGTTTCAGATTCAGCAAGAGAGCATGTCTCAAACCAGTAAGACGGAGAGTGGGGCATCCCTGAGTGTGTGCACATGTGCACACAAGCACCCCCGTGCACACACACCACATTCACACAATGCATAAATAAAAATAGAAGGAAATAAATGGATGGGTGGTGGGTGGGTGGATATATGGATGGATGGATGGATGGATGGATGGATGGATGGATGGATGGATGGATGGATGGATTGTCGGACAGACAGATAGTAAGGTGTGTGACCCTCAAGGAACAACACCTGAGATTGGCCGCTAGTGTCCACGTACATCCACACACATACACACAGAGGTATATTTCTGGTCCACCTGAATATTTTCCCTATCATTGGGAATGTATTTTTAAGATGCAGAAAAGCTACAGAGGCATATCTTTTTGTTTGTTTGTTTATTTGTTTGTTTGTTGTTTGTAGAAAGGGTTTCACTGTGTAACATCCCTGGCTGTCTTGGAACTTGCTGTGTAGACCAGGCTGGTCTTGAACTCAGAGATCTACCTGCCTGCCTCTGCCTCCCGAGTGCTGGGATTAAAAGCATGCACCACCACCCGGCTTGGAAGGCATAACTTTAGATAGTCTTTCAGTCTCTCCCCAGGGGAACCATTCCTTGGTACTCTCGGACAGCTGAGTCTCTGAAGCTCAGACTGACCTTGCCCACCTTTGTTATCTTCTCAGGCGAAGGTAGCCGCAGCGGATGAGAAGAAGTTCCAGCAGCAGATCCTGGCCCAGCAGAAGAAGGACTTGACAACTTTCTTAGAGAGTCAAAAGAAGCAGTACAAGATTTGTAAGGAAAAAATTAAGGAGGTAAGGATGCCCGTGCCCGCGGTCACCCGCTGCACTGTGAACTGAGAGCTTGGGGTGGCCTGTCTTGCACTAAGATCAGCATTTGACTGAACCCAGCAGTTCTGACTTCTCGTTAGAGTTGTTGGAAGACTGATTAAAGCCAAGGGTGGCACACCCCTCCATCCTCCTGTCTCCACCAGGCCTGGAGTGGAGTTTGAAAATTCACCTTTCCTATGAATCCCACGGGGCACCAATGTTGCTGAGCCTGGGGCTGCATTCCAACCTGTTCTCTACACATTGGCCAAAGAAAGAGTTTTCAACCATTTGAAACCCATCTCATCCTTTGAGAAAGTCCACCATCTTCCTATGGTTCTCAGAGAAGGCTGAAGTTCTAAAGACCCCACATGGTTGACCACCAACCTCCCCCATGCCTCTGTACCTTCCACACCCCAGCCTACTCGAGGCTACTGCATCTCCATTGCGGCCCGTCAGTTCCTCAGATGGAGAGTGCTCTCCCTGCTGAGACATTTCTTTACCCCATCTGCAGTTCTGCACAGTTCATTCCTTCTCCTTGTAAGAATTAGGATTAATTATTGAAATCCTAACTCCAATATTATTTTCCCGGGCAAGCTTTTCCTAACTGCCTTGGCCAAAATACACTTCTCCCGTCCCACGAAACTAGAATTTTAGTAATTTTTCAAGGTCCTTACTTAGCTGCCAACACCACAAAAGCAGAGAGCATGTCTGTTTTTGCCTAAGACTATCTGCTACGTGAGTAGATGATCCTAGAACGTTTGGTTGAAGAGCATAGGTGGACGTGAGAGAATCCCCAGAGGAGCTCCACTTTCATCTGAGAGCTTAGTCTGCCTCATTCTCCTTTCCCAGTATTGGCCGAAGGGTTTCCCATGCTTCTGCGCTCTTCCTCTCTCCTGCGGTGGAGGACTCCTTCTCTGCGGGCTTCCTGGCCGTAGTAAGGTTTAATAGAGTGCAGTCTGGGCCACTGGCCCAGTGAAGTCATGCACGGGTGAAGGGCGCAGGGTCTAGTGAGGGATCTGGGAGGGCAGGGTATCCGGGGGATCTCAGGCCTTGCCCAGGTAAGGTTCTGCTGCAGCTGATCCATGCTGGCTGAAGGCCAGGGGTCTCTGGCTCTCTGAGTTCTGGAAACTAAAGGGTTGCTAGGAATAGCCCAGTGAAGGAGAGGCTCCTTCCATTTGTATGTTTCTTTTGTGATCAACAGGATAGCGCTAGGTCTTGCAGGTTGCTTTGATTGTTTTCAGTAGGAAACTTTGCTATTTCCCTCATCCAAACGCCCTGCCTTTATAAACTCCACATGTTCATCCCTGCTCCAGAGGCCGTCATTTAGAAGCGTGACTACCATCTTGGGCCTTTGTAACACCAGGATGTTGGGGATCAACTGACAGACCTTTAAAAGATTCTCCACAAAACACACACTCCTGACCCACACCCAACCCAGTCTTCAGGTTAGCTTTGGGTCACCATACTTAGATAACATAGAAGGTTTGGGCCTTTTGCTGGAGAAAAGCAGGCCCCAAGTCAATCTTAGGTGGCCTCAGCCACTTATAAATAGAGCATGCTCGTCATGTGTGTTTAGATACCTCGGGATTTCACCTGCGGACCAATCTCGGGAATATGGGAAGGACATTAGTAATCCAGTCTTGACATTGGAGTGACTTTTTATGGTCACATTTTAGACATGCAAACTTGGGGCCCATGCTGGACCTAGAGGTGAGATCATGGCATAGAGAGACAGACACACCATCTAGCTCTCTCTCACGGGTTCCCCAATTACAAGGACTTACTGTCTAAAAGCAAACTAATCTAAATACTGGTGGCTCATGACAAACACTAAGAAAAACAAATGGTTTCAGAAGTATGAGGGTTCACCAAACATAGGTCGGGCTCCTTGGGGTGAACGAAGGTGGGTGAGTGTGCTGTGCTCTTCCCAGAAGTATCCTCTTGCCCCCCACAGACACACACACTAGCGTCCAGGCTCTTCAGCTGAGACTTCCTATGCACACACTGGTATCCCGGCTCTTCAGCTGAGATTCCCTATGTGTGGCTTCCTCACCCTCTGATCCCAAATGGAGCACAGTTTTCTCTCTCCTGGAACTCGAAATAGCGACATCGGCAGTGTCCCTTCCTAACTTGAAACCAGTGATTGCTCTTGTAGTCTTCTGCCTCCTCCTTGTTCCAAGCCACTCTGTTCCCCCAACTCGACCTTACAGGAGATTCCTAGCTGCCTGCACAGACATGGTCCCGGTCCTGCCTCTGCCCTGCTCCCCAGATGGCAGCCAGCATCCACTTTCTCACTATGGCACGCCACACACACAGAACAGCTATTTTTCCTGGCGGGCTTGGGATCTAGTGTGTCTGAGTCCCTGGGCGGCTCAACCTAGGACTAAATAAAACCCTGATCTGAACTTGGTCTACGTGTTCATTGGCCTGGCCAGCTTCATGGCCTGTGAGACCCCACGGGCCATTGCCCCCTCTTACCTCTTGACCGAATTATTTCCAACCCACGTGAGAGTTTTCCACAGGCTGTTCCTCCGTCAGAAATCTTCTCCTTTCTTCCCCAACTTAACTCCCACCAATTCTCTCAAACGTCAGCGTAGTTGTTACTGAGGTCAAACGCTTCCCACCAAACACTCTGAGGACCCCGCCCCTCCCTTGAAGGCAGTGTCTGACGGTCGCTTCAGTTCCTCTCCACAGCTCTTAAATCTGGTGTTGTCGGGGTGTCCAGCCCTTGAGTGTCGAGCCACCATGACCTCTTGCTCACCTGCCCCCTACTAATCCTGTGGTCAGGGCTTAGAGCTGTTGGTTGATGGCTGAATAAATGATCCCTGAAAGTGAGACACCACACCGAGGCAAATTCAAGTACTCCTCTCACTTAACACTCAAGTAATTGGGGAGAAGACAAACGGGGGGCGGGGTGTACCACAGAGCCTTTCTGTGCTGAGGTCCACACTCACCGTCTACGTGATTTAACCAATGCCATCCAGTTTGATGGACCTGGATATGTCTATGTCGTTGTTTTCAGGAAATGAACGAGGACCATAGCACACCCAAGAAGGAGAAGCAGGAACGGATATCGAAGCATAAAGAAAACCTGCAGCATACGCAGGCTGAGGAGGAAGCCCACCTGCTCACCCAACAGAGACTGTACTACGACAGAAACTGCCGCTTCTTCAAGCGGAAGATAATGATCAAGCGCCATGAGGTGGAACAGCAGAACATTCGGGAGGTATCTGTCACGCCCAGGCGTCTGAGGGGCAGTGGGGGGTCCGTCTCCTCCATTCCAGTGCCCCTAGCCGTTAGCACAAACAAAGCGTGTCAGGGAATGAAGGTACCTGCAGTAGGGGAGAGCCATTTCTGCTTTTCCGCTCTGCCTTAAACAGGTGCAAAGCTGGGTTAGAATAAAGGTTGTGCATTCTGCCACACGGAGCAGGCGTGTGAGAGAGGAAAGTTTCCACTTCCGGCTTGCCTCTGCAAGAAGTACTTACCTGGCCTGTGAGGCTCGGCGCGTCATCACGTTCACGCTGTCATCCGATGCCTACAGAAGGCCTCCTTCGTGCCAGGCTCTGTGGCAGACACCAGGGCTACCAAGCAACACCTGACTGCCAAAGTCAATCTCCTGCCTGAGTGGCAGTGGCAGGCTGAGATGGGGGCTTGGAGGAGACATCAAGGGCAGCCAGAGGGGGTTCGGGGTGTGGAAGGCGGCCTGGGAACAAGGGGAGCTGGCTGGAGCAGGCTGTGGGCCTGGTTTAAAGCGAGGCCTTCAGACTACCCTGAAGGCAGTGCGAGCCATCAGAGGGGTTGTGTGAGGCAGGGGAGCAACCCAGCAAGCACTAGCTTTGCTCTGAAGACCCAGAGCATCAGTGTGAGACCCAGGCTATGCTGGTAAGAGGAAGAGAGCAGGGAGGGAAGCAGCCATCTTCCCCATGAGCCGAGGCGGCAGCACAGAAAGGGAGGTCGTAGCAGAGTGGCATTCCTCACGCCGGCTGCTGCTAATTCCTAGCAGTGTCCCATGGGGATTTCAAAGAGAGGAGTCTGGAAGCAGTCTCTTGGTTTCTACTCAAGGCACTGAGGCAGGATCACAAGTCTGAGGCTAGCGTGAGCTACATCTCAGAAATAATGATGATAGGGTTAGGGAGGAGGCTTAGTCAGTGAAGTGCTTGCCACACAAATGTCAGAACCTGGGTTCTCAGCACCAAAGCAAAACTCCAGGTGCTGCAGTGTGCATCTGTAATCCCTGCACTGGAGAGGTAGAGACAGGAGGATACTTGGGGCTTGCTGTCCCTCCAGCCTAGGCTAATCAGGGAGCTGTAGGTTCAGCGAGGAACCCTGCCTGAAAATATAAAGTGGATAGAGATTGAGGAAAACACACAAAGTCAACTTCTGGACTCCACACACATGCAAATGCTCACACACATACACACGATCATAACAATAACGGCAATAATAATTATTATAGTAATAACTGTCAGTCTTCCAGTTTGGGACATTAGATGGGCGTGATGGGCCTCACTGAGACAGAGGATATAGAAGAAGACATGTCAATCTGTCAGAAAAGTATTAATAATCTGAGAAGACACAACACTGAGCCATTGGTAAAAATACTGGTGGTCGCAGGGCATTGGTGGCGCACGCCTTTAATCCCAGTACTCGGAAGAAGAAGAAGGCAGAGGCAGGCAGATCTCAGTGAGTTCAAGGCCAGCCTGGTCTATATTCCAGGACAGCCAGGACTGTTACACAGAGAAATCCTGTCTCAAAAAACAAAAACAAAACTACTGATGGTTCATAAAAACCCAGTGTTAACATGGAAGAGGGAAGCAATCTCTTCAAGTATCATTAACATAAGAGCAACTAGGGAAAGTGTTTCAGAAAACCTCTTGTTTTGTGTTCTGAGACAAACTCTCCTTCTGTGGGCCAGCTGAGCTGAACTGTCCATCCTCCTGCCTCCTGAGTGCTGGGCTCCCAGGCAGGCTGTGTGTGTTTTCTGACATCTGGGAAGGAGGAACTAGTGAGCCCTTCTGACCAGGGCAGGGGTTTCATAAACAGTAGACCAGAGGTGAGCATTGTTTGGAGCGATCCACGGGTTGTTGAGAATGAGGTCCACCACAGCAATGGAAGTGGGTTCAAAGATGAAAAGAGGGGTCTCGATACTGTGACAGTGTGGGGTGCTCTGCTGGACCAGAGCCCCTAGACAGAGACACACAGTGGAGCTGTAGTATTGGTGTGTCAGGGGTACGAGCAAATAAAGGAGAAATGAGACAGGCTTATTACGGAGGTAATAACAACACACACATTTGAGAAAAGCTGCTTAGAGGGAAGAGACTAGAAGCAAAGAAATCAAGTGTAGGAAATTGGTGTGGACGACATGGTGGTGGGTACAACCGACAGCTGGGTCTGAACCATGACTTCAGACAGAAAAAATGGGACGTGAACTGTTCAGTTGGCAGAATGTCTGCTTAGAATGGCAGAACCCTAAATCCCACCTCCAGCACCACGCAAACTGGGTGTGATGGTTCACATCTGCAAGCCCAGTACTCGGACATATGAAGCCAGCAGAGCTACAGGAAACATGACTTCAAAAGAAAAGAGGCACCAGAGCAGTGGTGGACACATCTTTCATCCCAGCACTTGGGAGGCAGAGGCAGGTGGAGCTCCGTGAGTTCAAGGTCACCCTGGTCTACAGAGTGAATTCCAGGACAGCCAGGGCTGTTAAACAGAGAACCCCTGTCTCAGAAACCTAAAGAAAGAAAAGAAAGAAGAACCAAGAGGTCTTGGCAGTCGATGAGAGATGGAGGTAGAGTCGAAATTGCTTTCCGATCTGAGACTTGGGACACTAAGGTCTAGCTAGAGACAGAAGCTTTAAGAGAAGGTTTTGGTAAGCATTTATCTTAGCAGTGAATATCCCAGACCTGTCAGAGCTGACAATGAAATGCGGGAGAAGCTCAGAGGGTAAAGCCCTTGCTGTACAAGCCTGGACCCCAGTGCAGATCCCCAGTGCCCACAGGGAGCAGAGCTCATAGCGCACACGCATCTGGAATCCACATGCTCCTCAGCAGCGGTTTTACAGCAAGGGAGACAGACAGGAGAACCCCGGACCGTCACATACGTGCATGGCATGATACGCCCCTACATCCAATACACCACGCATACATACACATATACACACAGACATGCATACACATCAGATACATATACACATGCCATACACACACACACACACACACACACACGGTTTTTTAAAATAATAAAAATAAAAAGCCCTATAGCTGGTTAGAAATAAGATACTTTTTTATCTGACAATTACTGTTATTCCAATAGCAGATATTTAGGAAAATTTCAAGGCCACAGGGTCAGTTATCATTAATAAAAGTTATAGAAAGTAGCTACTCCCCAACATGATTTTTTCCCCCTCAGGACAAGATTTCTCTGTATAACAGCCATAGCTGTCCTGGAACTAGCTTTGTAGACCAGGCTGACCTCAAACTCACAGAGATCCACCTGCCTCTGCCTCCCGAGTGCTACCTGGCCCCAACATGATTTTAAAAAATTATTTTCATGAAGTTATGGCTCAGTGATTAAGACCATTCATGGTTCTTGCAATAGACCTGGGTCCAGTTCCCAGCACTCATATGGTTGTTCACAACCGCCTGTAACTCCAGTTCCATGGAATCCCATGCCCTCTGCTGGCCTCCAAGGGCACTGCACATAACAACACACACACACTCACACACACACAAACATACACAACCAGCTGAACAAAGAGTAGTCCTCGAGAGTATTTTTCTTAAGGGTTCATAGTCTCCTGCTTTGGCCTTATCCTAGAACCACTTTCATGAAAGCATTCAGTGCCTTCCTGTTTACAAAAGCAGCAAGAACATGAAAAACAGAACAGGAAGTGTGATATGAAATGTTATTTTTAATTATGGGATAGAAGTTGTCTACATTTAAGGTCTATAGCTTGATGCCTTGACATAGTATTCATTGTGAAATTATCATATTTGAGCTTATTGTCATATCCATCAGCCCCACATAGTTTCTGCTTGTATGTGTATGTTGTATGCAATGTGTACATACATTATTTGCATGTATGTATGCATATGTCTTTGTGTATGCGTGTTCATTCACTATGTGTGTCGGTATCATGTATATGCATATATTATATGCAAGTATATTTGTGTATATGCATGCATTATGTGTAAGCGTATATGCATGCATTGTACACATGTGTATGATGTATTCTGTGCAAGTATATATGTGTCTATGCATACATTATGTGCAAGGGTATATTCCTGCTTGAGTGAGGAGATTTCTCTCCCAAATACAAGCACGGCAAGCTGTTGTCATCATGCTGCCCTTTAGATTTCCAGAAATTACTCTTCTTGCATACTGAAAATTGGGTGCCTTTTGATCAGTATCACACTGTCTCCGTGATCTCATATCACCCAGTTTCTACCCCCAAAAGCCAACCATTCATTTAGCATATATTATTCTAGAGCCCCCACCCCTGTTTCTCGTGTATGATTTTTTAACTCTGTGGCATTGTCTGTAAGCAATAGATGCAAACTCTGCCTGGCTTGGGCATGGTAATGAAATTTTTCAAGATTTTTTTATTTTTAGTGTATGCGTATGGATGTGTTTTTTTTTTTGTTTTTTTTTTTGTTTGTTTTTGTTTTTTTGGTTTTTCCAGACAGGGTTTCTCTGTGGCTTTGGAGCCTGTCCTGGAACTAGCTCTGTAGGCCAGGCTGGTCTCGAACTCACAAAGATCCGCCTGCCTCTGCCTCCCGAGTGCTGGGATTAAAGGCGTGTGCCACCACCGCCCGGCTCGTATGGATGTGTTTTATCCGCATGTGAAAGAGGCGAGAACGCGGTGGTAGATCCCTCTAGAACTGGAACTAGGTGATTGTGAGCCACCTCGTGGGTGCTGGAAACCCAACCCAGGCAAGAGCTATGCTCCTCCAGGCACTGCCATGGCTGTATCTCTTCAGCCCTGTTAATGTATATTTCTGTATCAAACCCAGTTGCTAGGAGAGAGAGAACTTGAGCGGTAATGTGCCTGTCCTTAACGGAACAGCCTGATTCCAGCAAACCTTCTCAAAGCAGAAGCGGAAGGCCAGGGTGGGGAGAGTGCAGAAATATCAGATGTCCACCATACTCGTTTGCCTTTCTCCATTTACCATGAAACAAGTAGAGTGCTGCCTGCTCTGCACAGCATAACGGGGGTCACCCATA